AATATCAGATATACATATATTAAAATTCATATTACTAATATTTAATTATATATATATATACAATTGATAAGTTTCTATTTACAATTAATTAATCAATAAATACTAATTCATTGGGGTGATTGATCATGGATGACAGGGAGGAAGGTGCTCTGTCTTCTGATATGGACAGGAGTCCCTCTCCCTCCCCAGTGCCTTCCCCTAGACAGCTTAGGGGGAAGAAATCTAAGGCTTCCAGACAGGTGAAGGCCTCCAGATCTGCCACAGCAGATAAAGATGCCCAAAGGAGGCATAAGGCATTAGAAAAGCAGTTTGCTAAGGCTAGGCAACGGGCCCAGGACCCTGGTCAAGGACCAATTCCTGAAGGCTTGAGCCACGAGGTGACCTGTGAGCCCTCGGCCTCTCATGATGTAGATTTATTGGCCAGTGGTCTGAGGGAGGATGGACCATCGACCTCTCAGGAGGTTCCAATTTCTGTGCCTAATCAGTCAAGGGCTAGTGTCAGGTCTCGCTCATCTAGTTTTGCAAGCCATTTTTCTCAAGCTTCTAGGTCAGGACCTGAAGCTACTTTTACACCCACTGCAGCCGGCCTCTGTCCTGAAGCGGGCCCAGGGTTCCCTCAGCCTGTGGATTTTCAGTCCTTTTTTTCTCAGGCCATGTCCCATATGTATCAAATGGGGTTGCAACAAGCCACTGGTGCCTTCCCTGCTCCTACGTGCCATACTACTTCTGCCTTTTCCATGCATCCCCCTGGGGCACAACATCAACAGCAATCTGTTGCCTGTAGCCTTGTGCCTGAATCAGCCCGGGAGGACGATTTCCTAGATGACTTTGAGATGTCAGAGGATGAAGAAGAGATTCAGGACAAGCCGGCCTTTCCGGGTCTATTTAAGCCTTCTCTGTTTCGCTCTCTCCTACGCAAGGCAAAAGCTGCCACTAATATGGATTCCACGCCTCTTCAGGGCTCCTCTTCTTCTACTCCATCTGGCCCCAATAGTAACTTGTTCAATCTACCTCAACCTGATGAGGACTTCGTTCCCTGTCCGGATCTTTTCTGCCAAGTTGTTCAAAAGCCTTGGGACCGCCCCGCCTCGTTGTCGGGTCCGAATTCATTTGATCGAAAGCTCTATGCATCGGCCCCTGCGCTGGATGCCCTCCTGCAGTTACCTACAATTGATGATCCGGTGGCGAGTCTCACATCGTCTTCCATCCTGGTAGGTGAGGCTGGGGATGGTCTCAAGTTTGAGGACAAACGAGCCGAAATGGGGTTTCGTAAAACACACCAAGCGGCGGCTTGGGCCATTCGTGCTGCAACCTCCTCATCATTCTTTAATCGGGCATCGCTGGTGTGGTTGCGCCAATTGAAGGACAGGCTTCCCCCGGAGGACGCACGATTACAGCAGGACCTGGCCAAACTGGTCGCAGCTGCTGAATATTCGGCTGACGCGTCTTTGGACGCAGCTAAGTTCGCTTCCCGGGCCTTAGCTTCGACTGTATCTTCAAGATGTCTCTTGTGGCTCCGTAACTGGAGAGCTGACGCCAAGTCGAAATGGCGCTTGACTGCTGCCCCTTACAAGGGCCCTGCCTTATTTGGTTCATCCCTGGACTCTGTGTTGGTCGAGAATAGGGATAAGAAGAAGGTGTTACCCACGTCTCTCCGACGCCAGGAGAGGCGCTATGTACCTTATAATCGACTGCCCTTTCGACAAGAGCAAGGCGCCGGGGGCGCCTCTTACTACAGATCTTCGCAGTCTCAGTACCAGTCAACTTCGGACAGGGCGCCCTTTCGTGACCGCGGTCGCCGACAATCCAACTTCAGGCGACCTTTCAGACAGTCGGCGGGCCGTTTTTCCAGGCGCGGTAAGTGACTCACCGCCTCCGGTCCCAATCGGGGGCAGGCTCCAGGCATTTTCTCACCTGTGGCCAACTACCACCTCGGATGCCTGGATTGTCCAAACTGTCACCGAAGGGTTACATTTGGAATTCACCACCATGCCACAGGACTTTTACTTTCAATGCCCTTGGCCACTTCAGCCGGAGAAGCGATCTCTGCTGCTACTCGAAATTCACCATCTGTTGCAAATCCAGGCCATAGAACAGGTTCCATTGGATCAACTCAAAACCGGCTTTTATTCAACACTATTCCTGGTACCGAAATCCTTGGGCGATTGGAGAGGCATTTTGAACCTTCGACGTCTCAATCAACACATCTTGTACCGTCGGTTCAAAATGCATTCCCTCAAGTCTCTGCTGGGCTGCATTCGTCGGGGAGATCTGATGCAATCTGTAGATCTAAAGGAAGCGTACTTGCACGTCCCCATTCATCAGTCGCACAGGAAGTTCCTCCGGTTTGCGTTTGGAGACCACCATTTTCAATATCGGGCTATGCCATTTGGCCTTTCGTCCGCTCCGAGGACGTTTACAAAGTTGCTAGCAGCAGTAGCGGCGTCGCTCAGAGAGGTTCCGGTTCGTCTGGCATGTTACCTCGACGACATTTTGATCCTGTCGTCTTCTCTCGAACAGGCGGCCCAGGACCGGGAGCTAGTACTTCAGTCCCTTCAAGACCACGGGTTCACTTTGAATCTTGCCAAAAGCCATCTTGTTCCCACATCGAGTATCCTACATCTCGGAGCAACGATAGATTCAACGCTGTGTGTGGTCTCCCTATCTCCCGACAGACAAGCCAGCATTCGGGAACTGACATCTCAAGTCTTACTACGCCGGACTGTGACCTTACTGTCTCTCTCCCAGCTTCTGGGAAAGTTGATATCTTGCATAGACATTGTTCCGTGGGCGCGTTTCCATCTTCGTCACCTCCAATGGTTCCTGCTCCCTTACCAGAGACAAGGTCGAGCGGAGTCTCTTCTCAAGGTAAAGGTTCCAGCTCCCGTTCGCCTTTCCCTGAGGTGGTGGCTGTCTCCGGCCCTCAACAAGGGTTCCCCCTTTCTGGAACCAGCTCGGATGGTGTTGACCACGGACGCAAGTCTGCGAGGCTGGGGGGCTCACCTCGACCGTCAGCTAGCCCAAGGTGCCTGGTCGTCGGCGGAAAAGCTGCACAATATAAATTGGCTAGAGCTCAGAGCGGTCCGACTCGCCCTGATACACTTCAAACACCTTGTATATCGCCAGGACCTTCTGATTCTAACGGACAATGTGGCCACCAAGGCCCATATCAACAAACAAGGGGGGACCCGCTCCTGGACACTAATGCAGGAGACGGAGCGTCTTCTGTCATGGGCGGAGCTCCACCTCTCGTCGATAAAAGCCGAACACATCTCGGGGACTCTCAATCGAGAGGCAGATTGGCTCAGCAGAGACCAAATAGATCACGCCGAGTGGAGGTTGGACCCCGGTTTGTTCCAGGACCTGTCCAGGAGGTTTGGCCTTCCCCTAGTGGACCTGTTTGCGACGGCTCAGAACACCCAATTGCCGAGATTCTTCTCCCGCTATCCATGTCCAGCAGCAGAGGGGCTGGATGCTCTTCGGAGTCAGTGGCCCCGGGGCCTTCTTTATGCCTTCCCTCCCCTTCCTGTCATCTCCAAGGTCGTGCGGAAGGTCATTCACGAACGGGCGAACCTTCTACTGGTAGCACCGTATTGGCCCCGTCGAGAGTGGTTCGCCGACCTCAAGAACTTATCGGTCGAGCCACCGTGGAGGATTCCACCCGACAAGATAGTACTAACTCAAGGAGCCATCCGTCATCCGGAACCAGAATGGCTTCGATTAGCCGTGTGGCATTTGAGCGCATAAAGCTCATCAAGGACAATCTGTCTGACGACGTTATCTCCATTATTCAGGCAGCTCGAAGACCATCAACAATTCGTATTTATAACGCCTCATGGACTGCCTTCACGAGATGGTGCGGGGATCATCACGTAGATCCCACAACGGCTTCTGTTCCGGACATTCTGTGTTTTCTGCATGTGGGATTCTCCAAGGGCTTGGCTCCCGTGACTCTACGCCGACAGGTGGCGGCTCTGGCGACTGTCCTGTCAGGAGAATCTCGTGTTCCTTTGTCTCAGGACCCCAGGATCCGTTCCTTCCTCCAAGGGGTCTCAAACTTGCGGCCTCCGCCGATTCACCGCTACCCCACTTGGGACCTTACCTTGGTGTTGCAGGCCCTGACGAGTCCACCGTTCGAACCCATCGCTTCGTCCAGTCTACGCTACTTGTCCTTAAAGATGGCCTTTTTGTTGGCAATAACTTCAGCGCGCAGAGTATCTGAAATTGCTGCCTTGTCCATGAGGAGTGATCTCTGCATCTTCTATCCTGACCGGGTTGTTCTACGCCTCGACCCGGCTTTTGTTCCTAAAGTGAATACTCGCTTTCATCGAGCCCAAGAACTCGTCTTGCCTAACTTTTGCCCGAACCCGCGTCATCCTGCTGAGAAGCGGTGGCATACTTTGGATGTGCGACGGGCATTGAGAAGATATCTTAAAAGGACTGCCCCTTTTCGAAAGACTGAGGCTCTGTTGGTGTCCTTCCTTCCCTCTTCCCTGGGCCAGAAGGTTTCTTCATCTACAGTAGGCAGGTGGCTCAAAGCCTGTATATCCAAGGCATATGACTTAAGAGAGGCCCCTGTCCCGGGTGGTATACTGCCCCATTCTACTCGTAGCGCCGCAACCTCTGCGGCTTGGGCTACCCAGGCTTCGGTAGATGATATTTGCCGGGCGGCCACATGGTCTTCCCTTTCATCCTTTGTAAGTCACTATAGGCTGGATAAGTTTGCTTCTGCAGATGCTGCCTTTGGCAGAAGGGTATTACAGGCTGTAATCTCTCCCCAAGACCAGTCTACGGCTTAAGTCCCCCCCTTCTTCTCTAACTTGGGTATGTCCCATTCTGAGGAGTGTCCGAGCAGCGTGTAGGAAAATGGTCGTTGCTTACCTGAACGACCCTTTTGTACACGCTGCGAGGACACTCCATCCCTCCCTTTTTCTTGGCTGTGCCTGGCTTTGGTGGAGGTCTGCTTTTTCTCCCTCTGTAGCTGTCTGCTTCCTGTGGGTCTACCTTATGGAGTTCTCGCGGTCGATCCTGCTGCTATTGAACCAAGTTGTCTTCGTGAAAAGTCTGAGGAGGAAGCAGGAAGTGAGGTGGATGCAGCTCCAGAGGGATTTGATTGACACTCAGCTGTGCGAATAGGAGTGATCGTATCCCATTCTGAGGAGTGTCCTCGCAGCGTGTACAAAAGGGTCGTTCAGGTAAGCAACGACCAATCTACGGAGAAGGGCGGCATATAAATTGGACTAATAAATAAATAAATAAATAAACCCTTCTTAGCTGGAAGGAGACTAAAGCTAATTTGTATCAAAATCCACCTTCCAATTTCCTACCCCCACCCCCCACCCCCCACCCCCAAATTTTTCCTCTCTGTCATTCATTCCCAAGGCCCTTTGGAATTTCTTTTGGGTCAGGAGGGTTCTTTAAAACTTATTTTATTGTGTTATTTTTCTGAGAGTTGGACAGCGGTGGCACTGTTGTTTTTCTATTACATATCAATCCCGCCAATCTGAACAAATTCCAGGGTGAAGTTTATTTAGATGGTCTGTGCTTGGGTTTGAATGGAAAGAGGTTGCCAAAGAGGTTAGAATTGTAGGAGTTTGAATTAGTGGGGGGTTGCTCCCGGTTTGGCCCAGTTTGGCCGAGCCGGTAGCAGTGACGCTATTACATCACCAAACCGGTTCTCTTTCTTCGGGAGCTGGGCCCTCCCGCCTGCCCCCGCATTATTCCGACCTTATATTTCTTCTTTTTTCGCCCAGCTGAGAGGTGTGGCAGAGTGGATTGCCACACCTCAGCTGGGCAGATTCGCCACACGCTTGCGCAAAGCGCGCGACCCAAGAGGCGATCATGCACAAAGCGCATGCACAAAGAGAACCGGTAATAAAGCCAGTTAGAACCCACCCCTGGTTTGAATGAACCACAAGAACCATCTACTCCAACCTTCTACAAAATTCAGGAAAACCAATTAAACCAGGGGTCGGAAACCTTAAACACTCAAAGAGCCACAAAGGTCCTAACCCAGGGGTGGGCAACTATGACCTTTTACAACCTGTGGACTTCAACTCCCAGAATTCCTGAGCCAGCTTGGCTGTCTCAGGAATTCTGGGAGTTGAAGTCCACAGGTTGTAAAAGGGCCACAGTTGCCCACTCCTGTCCTAACCGAAAGCCCCCCATTGAATTCTGGAGCCGACTAGAAGTCCGGTTCCCCCACCATAGAGTCTCCTCCTAGAGTGGCATCCTTTTTCCTCTACCTGTCCTAACTGAAAGTCCTATCAATTGTGGAGTCGACTGGTGACAGGGAGCCGCAGCAGAGGGATGAAAGAGCCACATGCGGCTCCAGAGCTGCGGGTTGCTGACCCCCAAGTTAAACCATCCATGAGAAGTGACTCTTCAATATCCTAAAAACCTTCAGAGACAAAGAACCCATAACCTCTGTAGTCGCAAAGGTACTGTTCCAAAAGGCAACTGGACTTTCTTGGGTTTTTTTCTTTGAAAATGTTGAAAGTGTTTAACTTCTTATCCAAGAAACTTCTTCAGTTTCTTTATTTTAAAGAATAAAACATTTCACTTCTCAACCAACTGAAGAAGCTTCTTGGCTGAGAAGTGAAATGTTTTCAAAAGAAAAAAAACCCAAGAAAGTCCAGTTGCTTTTTGGAAAAGCACCTTTGGGACAAGCATGACCTGAATGACTGAAAATCTCCATAGACACATAACCTCTGTAGGTTAACTATTCCACTGATATATAGATATTGCCATGTGGAGGTGTGTGTGTGTGTCTCTGTGTGTGCTTTAATACAGTGTATATTTAAATGAAATTTAGGTAGCTTCAAAATCTCCATTATTTTGAGTACTAGTTTCTATGGCAATGTAAAATAATTTCTGATCATCTTCCCTATGGCATTCCTTGACGAACACTGGTACATACTACCAGGGAGGTTGAAAACCATCAGGGATCTCATCAAACAAAGGATAACAATATTCTCCCAGGCTTTATTAGGCCATCCTATAATTCAGGAGACCAATCCTACATCCCACACCTGGGAATTTACTCCACTTCAGAAGCACGTAATCCTTTTGTGTTTCTGTGTGCATATATTTTAAAGGAACAAAAAAAAAGGGGGGGGGAATCTAAAAATATCTCAATGAGAAGTGGAAATCATGGGATGGATGAACAAAATGGGATAGCTCCAGGAAAGAGTCAAGCTGACCATGTAACCCTAACAGGAACAATTTCTAGAAGCAGTTTGTATACAACGCTTTTCACAGACAGTCAATATATATATATATTGAAAACACTTTTCTTCATCCAACAAAGCTTCCAGAGAAACTACAGAGGAGGAGAGTTGTTGCCAGTAGGTTTACAGCCTAAAAGGCTTGATATAAAAAAAAAATACATAGAATGACCCAATGCTGAAATCCAATATTTTTTACTATCAGTTCTATGGGCGTGGCTTGGTGGGCGTGGTGTGGCTTGGTGGGTGTGGCAGGGGAAGGATACTGCAAAATCTCCATTCCCACCTTACTCCAGGGGAAGGATACTGCAAAATCCCCATTCCCTCCCCACTCCTGGGGGAAGGATATTGCAAAATCTCTATTCCTCCATTCCCCACTCTGGGGCCAGCCAGAGGTGGTATTTGCCTGTTCTCCATACTGCTCAAAATTTCCGTTACTGGTTCTCCAGAACCTGTCAGAACCTGCTGGATTTCACCCCTGGAATGACCGTGTAGAAAAAGATCAGGAAGCAAGGAGGCTGATGGCTCTGGTCTTCCTGCAGACCCTCACTTCCTATGTCATCTCCTCTTGATGTTGCTTGGTGGAATGATCTGCCCCAAACCTTTTCCTAGGAAAACAAAAGGAATCCCAGTTATTCATCTTTTCAGACCTCTTCACTATCCTGGTGTCCCAAGGGATACATCCCTGAACTGAAGTAGATTAGAAACACTTTTTTTCCCCTCAAGACTTGAGAAGAAGTGGAGGGCATGTCCCACAAGGACAACTTTATTCACTGAGGAGAAAAACCCATTACGTTATGAAGTCAACTCCATCATTTCTGTTGCCAAGCGTAATGAGGGGGTATCAACAGAGGCAGAACATCCTGTTGTAAGTTTATGAATCAAGAGCTCTCCAATATTGCAACTGATTTGGAAGCTGTTTCATAGGAAGTGCGAATCCACAATGTGAAGGCCCACAAGCAGATCTAATACTTACAATTTTGAATTGTAACCTGTCCTTTTTTTTTCTTTCCCCCTTTCTACAGGTAGTCCTTGACTTAACGACCATATGTTTAGTGACCGTTTGAAGTTACAATAGCACTGGAAAAAGGGACTTCTGATCATTTTTCACTCTTACGACCATTACAGCACTCACTGAACAACTGTTTCACTTAGCAACAAAAACTCTAGGCTCAGTTTTGATTAAAAGTCAAGGATTACCTGTACAGAATAACCTGCGATGGGGGTGGGGTGGGTATCAGATATTTGTGCTATAGAAAATGGTGATCAAAAATGTTTTTTGCAATTCAAGTTTTCAGTGCTTTGAATTCAGAGAGAAATTGCCGCCTTCTGACTTAAAAAAAAAAACATGTTCCCAAAATAGAAATACTAATGAGGGAGGCTAGCAGCTTTTCCAAGTGTGATTAAGTTTGTTTTATTTTTTAAAGCCAGTCTCTCGTAGTGGGCATTGGAAGATGGCAACCATTCATTGGTTAATTGTTTTTATTGTGTTGTTTTTAACAGTTGCTTTTGAGAATGGTTTTCCACAAAGCCTAGCTAGAAAATCAGAGATGTACAGAATGATCCAGATTCAGTGTATTTCCGTCAGAAAGAGGTAAAATTCCACTGAGGGAAAAATGATGGCAATTTGCTAGTAATACTAAAAGTCTCCACCTCTTCATAGGGAAAAATCTGGATGAGGGAGCTGGGGAGTTGATGGAAATAATGATCAGAAGTTCAGAGGTCACTTCAAATAAAGCAACATGATGCAGTTAGTGTCGAAATCCTTAGCAACAAGATTATGAGGTAAAACCTATAATTGTGTGGTTCTTGGAGTGGAGATTGTTTTTTTCTTGTTAAATATCCTGAGGAAAGATTCTTAGACTCATCTGCCTCTCACTGGCTTAATTTCACAATTCAGACTCCATCATTCACCTTAATGTTCGGTGTCACTTGAAATTAGTGGCAAGCATCTTGCAAATGACTCATCTAAGCTCTAGTCCTTTATGTATGGAACTGGTGAGATCCTGAGGTGGCCAAATCAGGAATAGACCAAGAAATGGATATCATTCTATAAAAACAACCCAAGCAAACCAACAATCAAAAGGTCCACTTAGTAGACCAGAAGAAAACACTCTAGTTCAGTCCCAAAGGTGCTTTTTCAAGAGGCAACTAAACTTTCTGGTTGTTCTTTGAAGACATTTCGCTTCTCATCCAAGAATAAAGAGCTGAAGAAGCTTCTTGGATGTGAAGCAAAACGTCTTCAAAGAACAACCAGAAAGTCCAGTTGCCTCTTGAAAAAGCACCTTTGGGACAACCATGACCTGGATGATTGAAAATCTCCATAGATACTCTAGTTCAGTGTTTCCAACCTGGACCAGTTTTTAAGGTGTGGACTTGAACTCCCAGAATTCCCCAACCAACCTGTTGTCCGAAATAGAAGTATTTCCCTGAAGGAAATAGCCTAAATTCTCTGCAGCCTAAACAACTTCTCTTGTCTGGGTTACCCAAACAGTTTCAGCTTGTCTGAACACATTACATGTAGTTTTCTCCTCAGTGAAAACTGTCTGTGGAGATTTGTTTTCCTCAGATGATTTCACATAATACTCATAACGTGTCCATACTTCATACTGTATTACTGTGGTAAATGCAGGCAGTCCTCGATTTATGACCACAGTTAAGCCCAAAATTTATGTTGCTAAGTGAGAAATTTGTTGAGTTTTGCCCCATTTTATGCCTTTTTTGCCACTTTTTTGCCATTCATTTGTTAAGTGAATCACTGCAGTTGTTAAATTAGTAATACCGTTGTTAAGTGAATCTGGCTTCCCCCTTGACTTTGCTTGCCAGAAGGTCACAAAAGGTGATCACGTGACCCTGGGACAATGCAACCCTCATAAATATGAACCAGTTATCAATCATCCAAATGTCAATCATATGACCCCTAGAGATGCTGCAGTGGTCATAAGTGTGAAAAACAGTCATAAGTCACCTTTTTCAGTGCAATTGTAATTTTGAAACAGTCACTAAATGAACGGTTATAAGTTGAGGACTTCCTGTAACCAGCGCTTGTATTTCTTTTGTCCTTGCAGGACTGTCTTCTGCTGTCTTGGAAGTGGAAGTTGGACAAACTTCAGTGACTGTGATCCAAGGACAGCAGGCCATACTTCCCGTCTGGTATACGTCCACCAGTGTCAGCGTTCCCTTTGTCACCTGGCACAGAGAAAGACCCGGGGAGCGTTTTCAGGTATTGTCTCACATTGCCAAGACTGGAAACATATAATGTCTGCTCTTGTTTCTTGAAACTGTCAACCGATAGGCTTCTAAAAACACTTTGAACATTGAGAGGAGTTTAGCAACCCAGTCAACTGATCAATGGCCCAACACTACAGATAAGAGGTAAAGGTAGTGATTTGAAGGCTCCATCTGACCAAAAGAGACATTTGTAGATTTCTTGAATGGATCAGTTTGAGTTCTATGCAATAATCCATAATAAGCATTTAAATAACCTCTTCCTTTCCATATGGGCTCCAAGTAATGCCCTTAATGGCCATAGCAACAAATCCCATGATGAGGTTCTCCATGTGAGCTGAGATCTTGGGCCACCTGGTGACATGGAGAAAGTCTACACCTGTGTGGTGATGTGCATGTAACATCCCTCTTGATCTCAGTTGTGGTCATAAATTAAGGAGTACCAGTACTGTACCGGGCAGAAGACTTGGGCTAGCAAAACTAAGTGGCAAGAATCACGATGACCACTAGAAGACAGCTTACTACAAGGGATTTCTGTATATCTTTGGTGCTCTCGAGTAGTTACTTCAGTGGTGGGTTGCCCCCGATTCAGACCGGTTCTATAGAACCAGTAGGAAAACTGGTGGGAGGCTCCGCCCACTGACCCTGACATCATCAGAAAGCTTCTGCGCATGTGCAGAAATGCGCATGAGCGAGCAAAGCAAACGCAAGCGCGCGGCCCCATTGTGAACCGGTAGTAAAGGTAAGTAGAACCGACCCCTGAGTTACATGTACTGTAGTCCTCAACTTACAACAGTTTGTTTAGTGAGCATTCAAAGTTACAGCGGCCCTGAAAAAAGCGACTTACGACCAGTTTTCACACTTATGATCATTGCAGAATCCCCATAGTCATGTGATCAAAATTCAGATTCTTGGCAACTGTCTCATATTTATGATGGTTGCAGGGTCATGTGATCCCCTTTTGCAACTTTCTGACAAGCAAAGTCAATGGAGAAGCCAGATTCACTTAACAGTTTGACTAACTTAACAACTGCAGTGATTCACTTAACAACAGAGGCAGGAAAGGTTGTAAAATGGGGCAAACTCACTGAACAAATGTTTCACTTAGCAACAGAAATTTTGGACTTAATTGTGGTCGTAAGTGGAGGACCCCCTGTATTTGGTCCTTTTGCAGCCCAGATGTTTTAGCCAGTGGTGAAATCTAAAATTTGTTACTACCAGTTCTGTGGGCGTGGCTTGGTGGTGGTGGGGGGTAATGTGACTGGGCGTGGCCAATTTTTTTTTTTAACTTTTAAAACCATTTTTTCTACAACCTCTTCGGTGAAGAGGTTGTAAAAAAATACTTTCAAAAGGCTCTGACGATCCCAGCTGAGTTGCCTGATCGGCAGAGGCTTTTTTTCTTTTAAATGCCTCTGACGATTAGGCAACTCAGCTTGGATCGTCAGGGGCATTTAAAAGAAAAAAAGCCTCTGATGATCGCGCGGCTCAGCTGGGCATGTGGGGGGGCAGGGATTTTTGCTACTGGTTCTCCGAACCACCCGCCTCCATCACTACCAGATTGGGCGATTCGGTCCAAACCAGGAGCATTTCACCTCTGGTCTTAGCCAAACTTGTCCCCCTGTGTCAAAAACTCTTGTGAGTCAAACAACATCAGAACTGGATCACATAGCAAACTTCAGGTGGAAGCATGTAAAATTGAAGGGAAAACTTTCTTAAAGACGAGCAGTTTTTTAATGTAAAAATAGATGACAGTAAATATATCTCCTCCTCAATCATTGATTAATGCCATGCCAAGATAAATAAGCAGAATTACATCACACAGATGTCAGTACAGCCCACATATATAGAAAAATGTCAATTTGCTTAAGATTTCCTCACATTTAGGTTTGGTTCACTGAAATCCTTAGAGTTATTCAGTGACCATTTAAGTCAATCTAAAGGCTGTTTAATTTTTTTAGATTTCATTTTTATTTTATTATTACTTTTTTTTTTTCCAGTTGGGATGCATCCCAATTCTGTCAAGCTTCCAGACTCTGCATCTAACTCAGAGTAAAAAAATCAACATAAAAAAATCAAGGGCTTAAAGTATCTCTTTTTTAAAAAAAAATATGAGAGCTAAAAAGCATGCTTGGGCATCTTCTACTAATTTAGATGTCTTCTTTTTAGAAGGCTATAGACTTAGGCAGCTGAGGACACTTCAGAAATCAACATTTTCTGTTTATGGGGAGAATGAATTAGGGAATGCAATGCCACTATGATTTGAAGCTCATTGCTCAATGGTGAATCTGTTTCCCCTTAAATCTGGGTGGGCTTTTTTTGGGGATAGGAGAGTATCCTCACTTTTGCACACTTGGCTTGCGTGTGCCCCTTGAGTGTCTCTCAGAGCACTTTGCAGCCTGTAACACATTTGGGCCCCGAAGACTGATGAAGGCAGAGAAAGCAAGCATTATCCCCTGATGTTATATAGCTGGGTGAGTTGACTTAAAATGGAAGCATGCTGCCAACAGATTCAGAAATTAAGAGCCTCTACGTGCAAGTGGGAATTGCACAATCGTCTTAAAGATAGGAGGGTGGTCAGGGGCACGGAAGCGATGGCAGCACTGCTTTGGCAAGGCTGGGCATTTGGTGGAGAAGAGAGAAGGCTCGTTTTATGGGGCAAAATAAATGCATTCAGTTTTATGTGAGAAGAAGGAATACTATATACAAGCAGTCCTTGGCTTACAACCACAACTGAGCCCAAAATTTTTATTGCTAGGCAAGACAGTTGTTCAGTGAATTTTGCCCCATTTTACTACCTTTCTCGCCTCTGTTGTTAAGTGAAGCACTGTTGTTAAGTGAATCTGGCTCCCACTTTGACTTTGCTTGTCAGAAGGTTGTAAAAGGTGATCACGTGACCCTACCCCCCACCCCCACCCTGGGACACTGCAACCAGTTGCCAAGTGCCCGGACTTTGATCGCATGACCATGGGAATGCTGTAACAGTTGTAAGTGCGAAAAACAGTCATAAGTCACTTCTTTCACTACTGTTGTAACTTTGAACAGTCTCAAGCAAATGGCAAATCAAAGACTACCTATATTTTACCCCAAATTATGGAAAGGGAGAAATCACGCAGACAAAAGTCATAATTTTTGCCATGAAGTTTGGCTGCTTAAGCTAAGGGTCTCCAGGGAGCATAGAAAAGAGGTTAGGAAGGGTGCAGAACAGTGGTGGGTTGCTCCTGTTTCACTCCGGTTTGGGCAAACCAATAGCGATGGCGGCAGGAGGCTCTGCCCACCTGCCCAGATGTCATCAAAAATGGTCTGCGCATGCGCTCACGCGCTACCAATAGCAAATCAGTAGTACCGGGATTTGAAACCCACTATTGATACAAATGCCTTGTCCACCATATGTGATGCTCATGCACTTATGCATACGGGCAGAGGCCTCTTGTCTCATGCTGAAATCTTGAACTGTTTGATGCCGTTGCTATGCCTACTGAGCGTCATCCGTTTGATGTGCTAGACTTATCACTGCTTTGTGTGGGGAATGAGCCATGCAAGCGGAAGAGGTGCTAAGTAGCACTGACACCTTTGTGTCTCTTTGAAAAAGATAGTTAGGCGGGAAGGATGGCTGAGAGCCAGGCTGAAGAACCAAGCTTCTACAGATTGCTTCTTCAGGAAGATGCTGGAGCGGAGTTCTTCAACCATGGCAACTTTGAAGATGTGTGGACTTCAATTCCCACAGATATGGGAGAGGTTCAGGAACATGCTAGAGCAAGTTTTCTCAACCTTGGCAACTTCAAGTTGTGTGGACTTCCCCAGCCAGCATTGCTGGAATTCTGGGAGTTGAAGTCCACTCATCTTAAAATGCCAGGTTTGAGAAATACTGTGCAGGGGCTTGCTTGAAATTTGATTCAGCATTCAAGTATCCTGAAAGGAGAGGACAGTAAATAGACAATAAATTGGGCACTTCTAATATTTTGAAGTTCTCCCATTTAGAAACTTGAGCTCCTGAGCAATTCCTTGATAGACTCCTCTCACCTGTAACATGTTGTTTGTGTAGAAGGAGACTTCAGTGGCATCCCTCCGTTCTGCATTCTCCTCCACTTACAAATGTAAACCATAATTTCTGCTTTCTGGGAAGGCAGAAGTGAATGCACGGGGCTAATTCAGTCTATCAAGCCCTGTTTTCTCCACCTCCAAATTAACTTGAGCAATTAGAAGGGGTATTTTAAGAATCTTGGAGAACCTCTGGTTTTTCACACACGTGCCTCATTTCAGCTTTTGATTAGTTTTCTTTTGCAAAGGGGGCAACTTTGCAGCAGATGTTCTATGAGAGCGTCCATAATTTCATTAGCCATTGCTGTTTGAAACGTTTGTAGAATCCTATTGCCTGTCGCTGGAGTAAAGATTTTGCAATAAGCAGGTCTCAACACATTGAGGTAGATAAGGTCAAAAACTTGGTGATCTATTCACAAAACCTTTCCGGTCCTTTAAAAAGAGAAAAAGAAGTTTGCTTATTCACAAGACAGAGTCTAACATTCCTTGACAACAAGTTTAGGATCTGGCTGCAATCCTACAACGGTTTTGCTGCCTTCGTTGCAATCTTTCGCCCCTCCATCAGATCTTTATAATTGTTGGTTTTCAGATGCTTTATGAAGAAAGAGATCCTATTGGGGATGGAGGGGAAAGAAGCATCTTTTGTTACTATGGCAACCAAGCTCTGCTAGAGCATCGAAGCCAACTTTTTCTCCCCTTTAAAGTCCCAGGGTGACTCTACTTCATTACAATGCATGTCAAGGCACAGATTCTGGACTGGATTCATTTGAACCTTTTGGACCAGGAAGAGTTAAGACTGGAACATCCCATCTGTAGGCAAATGTGGCTTCCTCTGTCACTTGCAGAAGACCAAAAATGAAGTCTTTGGACTGCACCGCTATTGCTGTTTTTGGCCCCCGAGTTGTGTGGGAGTGATTGAAACGGGAGAAAGAAATGACTGTATTAAATACTTTAAAATGATGGTAAAGGTACAGTAGAAGAATCAACAGGAGGAAAGAGATGAAAAATAAATGTTACAGCCCAGAATGTCACTGCTTCAAAAATGGTAGGAAAAAGGTTGATAGTTTATGCCAGAGTTTCTCAAACTCAACAACTTTAGGATGTGTGGATCACACAGGTGAAAGAGTGGACAATATTAGACTACACAGAGAAAGAGGCCAAGTTATAGGGCAGTAGTGGCTAACCTTTTTGCCATCACGTGCCAAAAGCAGGGGGAGTCACATGCTCGTGCCCACACCCATAATTATATGCGCCCCATCCCCATCCCCTGCGCATGTGCACATGACCCTCCTCCCCCCCCCGCTTTTGGCCCGTGATGGCACAGTGGGCCCAGTAGGCCTGTTTTTTGCTCTCCCCAGGCTTCAGAGCCTCTCTAGGAGCCTGGAGAGGGCGAAAACAGCCTTCCCCACCCCCCTGGAGGCCCTCTGGAGGCCGGAAATGGCCCATTTGCTGACTTCTGGTGAGACTGGAAGGCCCGTTTTTTTGCTCTCCTCAGGCTCCAGAGCCTCTCTAGGAGCCTGGGGAGGGCGAAAAAGGCCTTACCCACTCCCCCCAGAGGGCCTCCAGAGGCCGGAAATGGTCTGAGGCTGGAAAAATGCTGAGCTTGCATGCCAATCGATATGGCTCTGTGTGCCACCGGTGGCACACATGCCACAGGTTTGCCATCACGGTTATAGGGTGTTCTTTGACCCTAACAACTTGAAGGTGTCTGGACTTCAACTGCCAGAATTCCTCAGCCAACCATGCTAGTTGGAAAATTCTAGGAGTTGAAATCCAAACAACATAAAGCTGCCAAATTTGAGAATAATTGGTCTATTCTATGCATGCAATTGTATGCATCCTTCATAGGTGTATTCAGACAAGTTTCATATTGTGTGCTGTGTTTCATAGCAGAAAGCTGCTGTTTCAGCCAAAGCACTGAATCCTTTGATCTGCATTCCAGATCCTGGCCTTTATGTATGAGACAACCAAAGTGGAAGACCCTGATCTCAAGCAGCGACTTGGATTTTTGTTCCGTATGCCTTTTCATAATGTCTCCCTTGTAATTAACAATACCAAAGAAATGGATTCCGGCCAATATATGTGCACCGTGAATGTTCCGGATGACAATACGGTGAATGGAAGAAACATCGGACTTGTCAACCTCACTGTTCTAGGTAAATCAACTTTCTTCTGCTTTGCAGAGGTTAGATGGGGAGATGTGATCTTGGATCGCCTAGAACACTTCATTTTCATGCAGGTAGTCTTTGAGTTTTGATTGGTCACTTAGCACTCATTCAAAGTTAAAATGAACTTCCCACTCCTTATGACCCAGTTCTGAAGTTCTGATGGATGCCCTCCCCCATGGTCACGTGACTGTATTTTGGGTTCTTGGCAACCAGCCTGCAGTTTATGATCATTTGTAGCATCCCACAGTCCCATGACTGTGAGTTATAATGTTTTTGTTGTTCCAGTTCCCAGCAAAAAACAGCCCTTAGCATCAGTGGGTTCAGTTTGTGCCTGCTGGGTAAATTGACTTCAGTTTATGATTCCCTCACCCACAAAAAAGGTCAAAAAATTGGGTCAGCCACATGATGACCTGCTTTACAACCATCATAATTTACGGCCATAATTGCATTCTTTAGTTCAGCCTTATAGTCTGCAGAGCTGCCTAGCAATTTACAAAGAGCACCCAAGTTTCAGCTCATGAGCTGTTTCAAAACAGTCCTGTTGGGTGCAAAAGCTCAGATTCACACCTGAAAGTCCACTTAAACTCATTTATTGCTAAGGGCAATAAATGGGCACAGGAATCTTCCCAAATAATGGTTAACAGCTGCTAAGAGTTGGATAAGGGTCAATGGAATTCAAAGGAGGCTGGACTTAGTTTGCTTGTGACTAGTAGGGATTCTAGGCTGATTCCTCTTTTAACTCCACCCACAGGTTCTGCCCCTCCTTCCACTACAATTCCCATGAGATAGAATCTAGAAGGAGTGATTCTCCTTCTTTAGGTTTTGTCCAAAGTGAGCACTGAAGCTTCAGGAACCCCTTTCCTGCTGATATTAATCCAAAAAAATACCTCAAGAGGGCCAAAAGATAGGATGGGATCATTTCTGATCCCCAATATTTTAATAGCACAAAGAAAGATCAAAATCAAAAGTTGTTTCTTGCCACAGGTAACATTAACAACCACTTCCTTGATGCATCCATTCATATTTAAGATCCCTCCATATTGGAGTTCTGCAACAGACTAACAAGATCTCTTCCCCTTTGAAAGCTGATGGAATCCATGAACTGATTCTTTTTCCCCTTTCCCAATGTTTTTTTAGCCAGTAGATGGCAACATTTACTACCTTTTAAAGCATTGAATGGTTTTTGTATTTCTTTAATAAAAAAAAGAGATCTCATTATTTTGCAGTCCCACCGTCTCCACCAAAGTGTCAGATTCAAGGCAGTGCACAAGTTGGAGGCAACGTTACCATGTCCTGCAAATCTGCTTTTGGAAAACCAGTCCCAGTTTACCGTTGGCAGCGGACTGAGCCCAGTCCCCAGTTTTTCTTTGCACCCACACAAGGTAGGAGTCTTTGCTCTGGGCATTTGTAGTCCAGCACAGCTGGACAGGGCAGGTTGGACATGGCTGTGGTTTAGGGGGAAGAGGGGAGACGTTGCCATGTATCTTTTGGGTCTGCTTTCCAAAACAAAAGGGAAAATTAGCCTAGAATGGAGTTTTGATCCAGTTCAATGTACATTGAATTTAATCCAAAATTGTAGGTTGGATCACTCTCTGAATATTTCATATTCTTCTTCATTCGCCTTTAGAATTACCATTTGGTGAAAACTTCTGAATGAGGTCCAGGGAGCTTTTTGGTTACACTTAGACCAGGGGTCTGCAACCTTAAACACTCAAAGAGCCATTTGGACCCGTTTCCCACAGAAAAGAAAACACCGGGAGCCACAAAACTCTTCCCGTGCCTGACTATTTCTTGAGTAGCCACAAAACTAGCATATGTAGTTGAATTAAACATTCTGTTTTCTTCTGAAACTTTTCTTTTCTTGGATTTATCCATGGTTGGCCTACTGAGGGTTGAAAAGCTCAATAAATCACGTGCCAGCGGGTGTCGCACATTGGCGGTGGTGATGCATATTTTGAGTGACAGGGAGCCGCAGCAGAGGGGTGAAAGAGCCACATGAGACTCCAGAGCCGCAGGTTGCTGACCTCTGACTTAGATGCAAATTCTATTTTTATTATTAGTCATATTTCTATGCCGCCCACTCTCCGAGGACTCTGGGTGGCTTACACCAAAGACAGTTACACCAAAGACAGTATACTAAATAGCATATTGCCCCAACAATCTGGGTCCTCATTTTACCCACCTCGGAAGGATGGAAGGCTGAGTCAACCTTGAGCCGGTGAGATTTGATCCGCTGATCTGCTGAACTAGCAGTCAGCTGAAGTAGCTGCAGTACTGCACTCTAACCACTATGCCACCTCGGCTCTTTCAAATTCTACCTGGGTTTCTCAACCTTGGCAATCTGGAGACGTGTGGACTTCAACTCCCAGCATTCCCCAGCCAGCATGGGACTCTGGGAGCTGAAGTCCACATGTCTTCAGGTTGCCAAGGTTGGGAAACACTGTTCTACACCCTGGCTTAGTGTAATGGGAAAACTTGATTTAGGTGCTCAGCCAGGTCACTGAGGGAAAGTTAATGGGGTCCTCTTGAAATGCAGTTCTGTTCATCTGAAACTTGCTTGGCATTTTTTTCCCCCCAGATACAAAGAAGGGGATGCTGACATTGACCAATCTTACTATCGAGATGTCAGGGGTGTATCTCTGCAATGCCTCCAGCTTAGCTGGCCATTCCAACTGCACCCTCAATCTGGAAGTACATCCACGTGAGTCTCTTTGACAGCCCAAGGTCTCCCTCTATTCTGCTTCCATTTAGATGGGAACTCTTAGGAGCAAGAGAAGGTTGAAATAAATAAAAATATCACCATTGCAATCAGTTATATCCTTAAGAACAGTCTCCCATTTCCATTTGAAATAAACACCTTTGGTATCAAATTTTAGGAAAATTAGTGTTTCCTTGGCTACTCTCTGACTGCTCTTTAGAAAGCCAGATCCAGAAGAGGAAACTCAAATACTTTGGCCACCTAATGAGAAGGAAGGACTCACTGGAGAAGAGCCTAATGCTGGGAACGATTGAGGGCAAAAGAAGAATGGGACGACAGAGAACGAGGTGGCTGGATGTGGTCACTGAAGCAGTCGGCATGAGCTTAAATGGTCTCCGGGGGATGGTAGAGGACAGGAAGGCCGGGAGGAACGTTGTCCATGGGGTTGCAATGAGTCGGACATGACTTCACAACTACAACAACAAAATTGCTACTGTACTGAAGGTGTCCACCTAGCTAGGAATTTGTAGTGATGACTGTTCCATCTAGATTAAAAGATGCTGTTCATATTCCTGGTAGAAATGTCCATCATTCTAACAGTCTATTCATGCATCAGCAGCCAAGGTGAAGTAGTGATCAGGGCATCCTTTCTCAACCTGCCTGCTCTCCAGGTTTCTGCAACAGGAATATGAGCTTCCACTCCCAGAATTCCCCAGCCAGGATTGCTAAAAATTGTCGGTGCTGGTCCACCAAGAGCATTTAGGACAGAGAAAACCCAAGGAGAACCATCTCATTTGTCCATGAAATGATTGGAGCAGTCAATATTTCCCAGTCAAATCTATTTCACAGTTGTTTATGATAACTATTGGAAGACTAGTTCTGTGTAGCCTTTTTGGAAGTAGGATTAATATCAATGATATATAAATCATCCTAAATGTTCACACAGAGATTGGATCCAAAATCAGTTGTGTTTGATGTGAAGAGGTTAAAGGGATTTTAATTAGGATTAAGTAGACCCAAATGTTTAGAGAGGCAGGAGATTGGGAAAGGCCGAGATAGATAGAATTGCTGAAATCTTTTTCCCATCTCCATTAAAAAAAACACAAAACATCCTCACTGTTGTGGCTCCTTTTGCAGCATTCAATACAGCAGTGGTTGCTGGTGCAGTCGTGGGGACCCTCATTGGACTTGGCCTGATCATATTTTTTACACTTCAGATGTTTATCTACCGAAAGAAAAAGAAGGAAGCCCAAGAGGATATAGCCAATGAAATCAAGTAAGTAACGTAGAACATCTGGCACTGCTAATAGCAGAGTTAGGAAAGAGTGTCCACCACATGTTGTTGGATTCAAAGTCCATCAGTCTGACTCTCTCTATAGCCAATGACCAGGAATGGTAGGAATTGCCCCCTGAAGCATCTGGAAGAAATGTTAGACATTGTGTTTGAATCATCTTCAGTATTTCTTGTTAACTGTGTAGTCCTTGGTGCTCTCAGGGTTTGGCTGTTTTCTTCCACATGTTTCATTGGCCAACTAGGTAACATCAGTGCTGTGCCAGATAGCACTGATAATGTTACCCACTTGGGTGATGAAATGTCTGCAAGAAAACAGCCAAGCTCAGAGAGCACAAAGGACCTCAGAGTTCAACCTGAGCTACAAATATTCCCTTCTCTTGGTTCTTTCTGACTAGTTTCAACAAGAAAACACTTTGTGTTGGTAAGATCACTGTATAACAGTGGAATGGTTAAATGTGGTTGTGGGTTCTTTTTCTCTGAGGAGGCCCCTGTCATGGATGATTGAATTAGTTTTGTAATAAACAGATAGGAGTATAAGTCTTTGCAAGGCAAAACCCATTTAGATACTCTATTTGATGGAAAACACAGTGTAAACCAGGGCTCTCCAACCTTGGCAACTTTAAGCCTGGAGAACTTCAACTCCCAGAATTCCCCAGCCAGCTGGCTGGGGAATTCTGGGAGTTGAAGTCTGCCAGGCTTAAAGCTTTGCTGACTGGGGAATTCTGGTAGCTGAAGTCCGTCAGGCTTAAAGTTGCCAAGGTTGGAGACCCCTGTTTTAAATTTTGAATTTTGAAGATTTTGAAAAGATTTAAAATATAAAAATCATAGATCAGTATGGAAATGGAATATTGGAAAATAACTTCATTGACCCCTATTTTTCCTTCCATTTATTACTTCCTTTCCCACTGCAGGGAAGATGCTGTAGCTCCCAAGACCCTCTCCTGGGTGAAAAATTCCTCCACGGATGGACTCTCCAAAAATGGAACGTTGTCATCCATGAACACAACTCGGGATCACAAATCCTATACTGTCCGGGCCCCCTCGGACACGGCCTCCATCACCACTGCTGCAGGAAGCATGGTGGGCTTCAAGGCCCCTTTCACCAACCCCAGAAATGGGACCCTCACACCAACACCCAGCCTTTCCAGCCAATCGCTGCCCCTCTATTTTCCACCAGTGATCAACGGGGTCCAGTGCCATCATGCCAATGTGCCCATCCACAGGAATAACCTCCACCGGACAAACAGGGCTCAGCCACAGGCCCCCCAGCATCAGGAGCCCCCCGTCCCCACTGCTCAAGGCTTAACGGCCTCCACATTGAATCGCATGGGAGCAGTGCCTGTCATGGTGCCTGCTCAAAGCCAGGCAGGATCTTTGGTGTAAATGTGCTGTAACTCCATAGCTCTCCGTGCGGCTATCGGTTTGACTCATCACAAGCACTGTCGAGAGACAGGTGCGCATTGTGCTGCTTCGCCAGCCTGTCTGCGGAGGTCCAGGGTCTGTGTTTGGGGTGGTTCTTGGATTTGTTCTTCATGTGACCAAATGTCAAGACTTTGCCATAAGTGAGACCTTATCGGGACTTCTGAAAAGGACTTTTTTATTTTTATTTTTGGTAACCAGAAGAGCTTCTGTTTATCTGTCCAGGCTTATTCTTCCTCGTGCACCAGGCCCATTCCATCTCCTCTGGGAATCTACCTAACAGAGACTAGGTTTAACTGGATAAAAACATGTTTGTTCTCTAACATAACTCTTAATGTTGAGGAAGAGAAGCAAGCTGTGGTTTACTGTTGTGGCTTAGAATAAGAGAAGGAGGTAGATCTGAAGCCTGTAAGCAAAATGGGTCATTCTATCTTCCCCACTACTTTTCAAGAGGTAGCTCACACAATGGGAAACCCTTCAGACACTTAGGAAGAGAAGGTAAAGATAATTGAAACCTACCTGACTCCATGTCAAAAGTCTACACATTAGAGAAATCTGCACAAATCACAAAAGTGATAGAATCTCAGCTGCCACCTTCCACTCCCTCCATGCAGACAATGTTTTCCAGCAATAGGTAGAGCTGAAGCCAAGGTGGAGGTGTGACTTCCTAGCTTATCATTCCTGTCTCCTTCTTCCATCTCCCCAAAAGAAACTAAAGGACAGTTCAGTCTCACTGCTGGTTGATCTGATGGCCATAAGCAGTTCTTGGTGTCACTTCAAAGGTAATTAATTCATAAACCCTTCAATTGCCTCTTGAGACGCCTGGTTTTAGATCACCACAGTATGTTAGAGGTGTGCAACTTTTTGAAGACACAAACTTCCATATGTATGAAGAGGCCACCATATATTACATTTGAAGAAAATGCCATTTTAATTGAATTAATGGAATATCAATGGTGTGAGGAATGAATTCATGCAATTATCCTTAAAACGACAGTTTGTTACTTATGAAGGCCCATCCAAGACTTTGGAGATTCACCTGCACTTGTTGGGCACTAAATTAGGTAGTATCAATGCCCCCTGAAATAATTTTAGTACAAAATAAATGCAGCCTTATTCAAGAGGTTATCTTTTACAATGGATACTGTGTAATATCCTTTTTCCTGAAAATGGTATCCTAGATTATTTAATTTGGGAGCCTTATGGACAAGATGAATTTAGCTCAGGATGGAACTATTTGGAGAGACAAGTGCCATGAAGTTGTTAAGGCTGTATCATAAGTGCAAAAAGAGATCAAGGTATTGATGTTCACCTGAAGAGGCTTGGAAATGGTTTTTGATAGGAATAAGTTAAATGGAATATATGAAACAGACAATAATTTGGCAGATGCTCAAGTTTTTACACTTGGTGGTTTTGAAACTGAAAAGTGGATGCCACTTTTAAAAAGTATAAATCTAAACGGTAGCTTTGCAACAGAAATTCGTTTTTATAGGACCGTAAAATGCTTTCCTAAGGTAACATTTCATATTAATCCAAGCTAATCATATAATTCAGCATTGTCAGATGGCACAGTCCTTATGAAGCTGGTGACACACAGATCTGTAGAGGTTCTAGATTAGATCTTTCACTCTTGTGCTGAAAATTTGGGGAGGGGGTTTTCTTTTGTTTCATAGCATCCCTACAAGCCCACTTTTTGAAGTAGTAGTCCTCTTTCAGTTAATGTAGGGTATAACTCCTGGAAATACAGATGTAGAATATGCTTTTCAGAAAGTGTTCACAAGGCAAGTTGAGAAAGGATTCTGCTGATTTAATGTACAGGTAGTCCTTGATTTATGACCACAGTTGGGACTGGAACATCAGTTGCTAAGTGAGGAATTGTTAAGTGAATCTCACCCAATTTTTTGCCATGGTTGTTAAGGAGAACCTCCTTGATTATTAAGTAAATCATGCAATTGTTTATTGTTAAGTGAATCTGGCTTCCCCCATTGACTTTACTTGTTGGAAGGCACCTGGGAAAGTAACAAATGCAGATCACATGACCCTGAGATTCAGCAACTGTCATAAATATATGCTGGTTGCCAAGCACCCCAGTTTTGATCACATGACCATGGGGATGCTGCAACGGTTGTGTCAGGACCAGTTACAAGTCACTTTTTTCAGTGCCATTGTAACTTTGAATAGTCACCAAAAAAGGTTGAAAATCAAGAACTACTTGCCGTCATCCATGTAGCTTTATTACCAGCAACACAAGATTCATTTAGAATTGCTTTTCTCTAGGGCGATGGTTGGTCTAGGACTCCCAGAATTCCTGAGCCAGCCATGTTAGCTCAGGAATTCTGGGAATTGAAGTCCACAAGTCATAAAAGGGCCATAAATTGCCAACCTCTGGTCTAGGATATAGCTGTGGTTTTCTCTGCAAGTCTACCTTGTATTCTCTGGAGGTATCGCTCACCCAAACAAAGCCAGCCAGTTGCTCTAAATCAGAGTGTCCAACCTTGGCAATAAGACTTGCAGACTTCAAATCCCAGAATTCCCCAGCCAGCCATTAAAGTTACCAAGCTTGGGCATCCCTGCTCTAAATGAGTTAGGCTGTTCTCTTCTAGGCATCTGTTTTGGCTCCAAAACCTATTAGTTTTTTTAAATAAATGGAACCCCTTTTATGACCGTGGTTAGGGGTTGATTCTGGAAAATATGCTTTTATTCCGATTTGTGTCCTACTGTTCCTTAGTGAACCACATAGGAACTCTACTTAGATATTCTGCATTAGTATTTTTGAAACTTGGCAACTTTAAAATGTGTGAACTTCAACTCTCAGAATCGTCAGCATGTCAGTTTGAAAATGCTTCTCTACCTGCTCTCTTGCAGTTAAGGCCAAATACTGCCTCAGGTCTATCAAAATATGACATCTTCCATAACTCTTAAGAACATGACTTGTAATATTATAGAGCAACTTTCTACCAGGCCTCTTAAATGGACTGTTTAAAGGACACCTTTTGCATCTTAATATATATTGTGCAATTATGTTTATTCAACGGACAAATTCCTATATTTCTTTTTCTTTTCTTTTTTTTTATAAATGTAGATGGAGTAAATAATTTATACTTCTAGATATTAACAGGTCTGTGAATCTGGACTGGAGTCCTCTAATCATTTTCATGCTAGCTATTTTTATTTTTCAATGGCAATAAGATCCTTCTGTTGTGTGGGAAGGGTAGGGATACACTGAAGTATTTTTATGTACAGTTTTGAAATGTATTGTTTTTCATAAACAATCATTAAAAGTATTTGTTTTTATATCAAGTAAAACCAACTGTGGAAAGGCAGTTTGCATGGGACTTGTCTATGTGTGCGTGGAAAGGGGACGGCATTGAAACGCACTTTGCCCAACTTTCCTGAACTAAAATTCCAGATTTCTTGTTTTCTTTTTACAACAGGGACTGAAATGATAAACAATATAGGAACGAAGAACAAAAGCAAATAGAAACACAAGGTTAAAAAGAAATAAAGTAAACAGCCCTAAACAAAAATCAATTAAAATAAGGATTGTCTTCGAAAGTTGTGGCTGTTCCATCACTAGATGCTTTCAAGAAGAAACTGGACTACCATTTGTCTGGAATGGTATAGGGTCTCCTGCTTGAGCAGAGGGCTGGACTAGAAGACCTCCAAGGTCCCTTCCAACTCTGTTATTCTGTTAAACAAGAAAAAAATGCTGCATTCTCAAAACAAAATTTGCTATTGGTGGATTCCATGCATTGCAAAATATAGTACAGCTAACTTAAGGCACTGATTTAACCCAGGATACTAGATGGGCTAAAGTTATTTGAGAAAGGCGGTTGCAGTGTTCTAATGAACTTATCTGGAAAATTGTTTGCTTGGGTGTAGAACAGTGGCGTTTGTTTCTTCCAGTAGCTGTTAATGATTTCCCAGAGTGATGTTTGTATTTCTTTTCTAGAAGGAAGCCATGTCATTGACTATACATACATGCCTGTATTTAAAGCCCAGCTAGATCAGCCTTGAGCCCTTCTGAAATCAATTGGTATATGAAGACTTGACACATTGATTTTCAGATCCATGGAAATGGGTGATAATTAAATACAGGATAAGGGTTGTTGGTTTTTTACTGCATTTTATACAGATTTAGCTGGCCATCTTATAACAAACTCTGGTCGACTCTCAATCAAAAATTAAAACATAAAAACATATATAAACACATATAAACAAAAACTTGGTGCCAATCAAAATTCTAATGTGCAATTATCTAGTCTTCTGGTGCTTGGGAAAGTCAAATCTTCAAAGCCTCATGGAAGGTTAAAAGGGTGGAGGCTGGCTGAATGTTCCATAGGGCAGAGGCTGTCATGGAAGAGGCCACAGGAAAGGTAGGCTTCCTAGCCCCCATTCAATGGCAATATTTAGCAGAAGGAACTAGGAATGTTTGCCCACCCTTTCTGACCCTGTAGGACAGGTAGATGTTCTTTCGGGAAAGGCAGTCTCGCAGATAACCTAGTCATATAGGACTTTAGACACACAAATGCAAATACAATGTCAACATTCCAATTACAAACCCAATTAAAGCAAGCACAATCTCTTAATGCAAAACTTCATTGAGTACATCATTTTGGCACAGATGAAAGCAAAACCAGATCCGGCTGTTTCCCACACAACCTCATATAATCAAAGTAAAAATGCTCCCTTCCACTATTAGATCAGGTCAAATTGTCCAATTGAGTCTCATCGTATTGTTATGAGAAAGTCTTTTGGCTCTGCCAAACACCTGCTGAAGTATCCTTGGTTCTCCTGGCTGTCTTCTTGATGTCTGGAGCTTACATTTCATCACCCCCTTCCCTCCCCCCTAGTTTGTTGGCAAGCTGAGAAGCAATAATGGTTGTAACAGCAAAAGCGCACTTTGAAACTTGACAGGTGGACCCTCCCTAAAACATAGGAGATACCTGGAAAACAACAATTGGATATTATTATCATTTACTTTGAACTCCTCCCTGGAGGGACCCTGGCTTCTGAGGGTACTTTGCATTGAATCTGCCTATTAAGTGGTTTGCCTTAATATTATGGGCTTTGCTCCACCTTGCCTCTGAAATTGGGTAGCCTTTCCATTGCACCAAGTATTTCGGCTTTCCTTTATGGTGTCTAGAATCTAAGATTTGTTTAACCTCATAGTGTCTTTCACCCCCACTATAATTGAGCCTGGGAAACCTTTTCCAACTGGCCTTAAGTTAGAGTCCTGGGCTGATTTCAGCAAATTGCAATGGAATACTGGCTACACTTTTCCCAATATCTTGGGCAATTTTAATTCTACAGTGACTGGGTTGATCACCTTCACTATGGGCAGGGCCGGATTTAGATGAAAAGAGGCCCTAGGCTATTCCACTTATGAGGCCCTTTCACCAGTGGTGGGATTCAATTTTTTTAACAACAGGTTCTGTGGGCGTGGCTTAGTTGGGGGTTTGGCTTGGCAATCATGTGACTGGGTGGGCGTGGCTAGCTGGTCACGTGACTGTGTAGGCGTGGGTAGCTCGTCATGTGACCGGGTGGCCGTGGCTATGTGCATAGGGACTACTCAGAGGGCTGAAAAAAGTCATTTCTGACTGGGCCTCGCACTTTTGACCGGTCCTCACACTTATGACCATCCTCACATTTATGCCCGTGCAGCTTTCTTAACAACCATGTCACTCATTTCACAACTGCTTCTCTTCACCATGGTGACAAGATAGGGCAAAAACGTAAAATGTGAGGACAGTGGTAAGTTCGAGGACTGGTCAAAAGTGCGAGGACCAGTCAAAAATAACTTTTTCAGCCCTCTGAGTAGTCCATATGCACAAAAGGACTACCCAGAGGGCTGAAAAAAGTGATTTCTGACTGGGCCTCGCACTTTTGACTGGTCTTCGCACTTATGACTGGTCATCATTTATGCCCATTGTAGCATTCTTAACAACCATGTCACTCATTTCACAACTGCTTCTCTTCACCATGGTGACAAGATAGGGCAAAAACGTAAAATGTGAGGACAGTGGTAAGTTCGAGGACTGGTCAAAAGTGCAAGGACCAGTCAAAAATAACTTTTTCAGCCCTCTGAGTAGTCCATATGCATTAAAGGATACAGCAATAGAGAGGGATGAAGGAATGGAAATTAGAGTAGGAGTGAGGGTAAGAGAGGGAGGAAGAGAGGAGGAGAAGGAGAAAGGAAGAGGAAGTAGGGAGGAGAAGAAGAGGGGGAGGAAGAGAAAGTAAGAAGTAAAGAAAAGAGAGAGGTGGTAGGTTTGAGGAGAAAGATTGCTGTACAATAAAAAAGATGAAAGGGAAGAAAGCCAACCCCAAACAAATATAAAGATATTAAGATAAAGAATGAATTGTTAAACTTTAAAGAATAAAAGAGAACAAATATGAATAAATAACAATAATTAGAAACACACATACAAACATACAATGTATTTTCTTTGAACAGAGTATTTGGCCGGTTCACAAATTTAAACAGTGTTTAGTCATTTCAATTAAATTTACAGTTTCTATATTTCCTTTTTGCCATATTTATTCCTCATCTATTTTTGTAAAAAAAACAATATTACCCTTCATCCTCATCTCTAATCTTAATCAAATTCAATTTTTCCCTTCTATTCTATATTATACCCCTTCCCATTGTCATCTATTTTTATATCCATCCTCACATTGGTTAATTATGTAATATTAGTTGTTTAATATAAATTCAACATTTTAATATAAATCAATTAGTTATATAACTACCTTTTTGTATATTAATCAATATGAACATGAATATTCCAATTATTTCCATGCAATCCAATTTCTTACAAATCAATTAATTATATTTACCAATAATAATAAACCAAATGATTTCCCCCATATATTCCTCCAAACCACAACTTAACCATTTCTGCTTTCAGAAATATACAATTAATAGTATCTCAATTATTACAATTCCCTAGTTAAATAGAACTTTTTTTCTTTTGTGTTTTAAAATCCTGAACTCTCCTCTTTTCCCCTAAATTTCCCATTATTTGCACCTACCTTTTTTGGTGAGGAAAAAGAAAAGAATTCTGCCTGCCTAATTTTCCAACCTTGCAGCAACAACAAAGCAGTTTCAGTTTCGTTTCTCAGCATAGCTAGGGGGAAAAAAATCAGCACTCTTTGCAAGGAAGCAGAACAGCCCTGAGCAAAACAGCTGAGACAAATCAGCTGAGAGCCGGGAGGCCAATTAGCCTATGCTGAAGCTCCGTGGGCCAATAAAATTACAAAAAAAACACCGAAGCCTTTGTTAAATTGCTGGCTCCCCCGCCCCTCGCCCACCACTATTTATTGGCAATAAATAGTGGTGCGGAGGGGAGGGGCAAGCAAACAATTTAACAAAGGGTTCAGCTGCACCACTGGCTCTGGGGCGGCCCTTTGAAGCCACGCGGCAAGAATTTGAAGTTTTTTTTTCCTCTAGCCATCGGAGGCAGCAATAGATTGGGAGTGGGTGGGGTAAGCGAACGGCCGGCGATCCAACAGAGCAGAGAGTGAGGGTGAGTGAAGGCGTGGAAGCTGCTTTCTCCATCCTGCTCTCTTGCGTCCGGCAGCCCACGTGGATCCCAGGCAGCGGAACTCAGGCTAGGGAAGGGGTGGGCAATTGTGGCTCTTTTACAACCTGTGGACTTCAACTCCCAGAATTCCTGAGACAGCCAAGCTGACTCAGGAATTCTAGAAGTTGAAGTCCACAGGTTGTAAAAGAGCCACAATTGCCCACCCCTGGCTACGGTAGGCTGGCGCCGCGCGGGTGGGAGGCGAGGGGCGGGGCGAGCCAGCAATTTAACAAAGGGTTCGGCCGAGCCCCCTAGAACCCCCAGAATCCCACCACTGTGTAGGCCCCTCTTGATCTTGAGGCCCTAGGTTGAAGCCTAGTTAGCCTATAGGAAAATCCAGCCCTGACTATGGGGAAGGGTCCTATGTACTTAGGACCCAGTTTCCTGCTAGGTAGCCTCAGCTTTAAGTATTTCGTGGACAGGTACATTTTGTCTCCTATGTGGAACTCCCCTTGGAGAGTCCAGTTTTTATTGGCTTGCTTTTTCTGACTCTCCATTGCTTTACCTAGAGGTTTTTTTGACGTTTCCCCATGCATTTTGGATAGAATTTACCCACTCCGTTAGGGATACTGATGAGGGAGGTTCTTTTGGGTACTCTAGCATAGGTATGAATTCCACCCCTGTAGTTATTTTAAAAGGGGTGAGTCCAGTGCTACTATGCACTGCATTGTTGTATGCAACTTCAGCAAATGGCAGGAGTTCTGCCCAATCTGATTGCTGATAGTTGACATAGCAAC